GCCCTCGGGCCAAAAAGTTTACCCACCCCTGCTCTAGGGTGTTTGGATCTGATGGCAAAGAAACAAGCCATGATAGTGTTAAGCTGTAGCTTCTGCTCAGTGTCTCCTCCAATAAAAGGTGACAGGTGTGGTGCATACGTCTCATCCAGCCAAGCACGATCAAGACTCATGAACCGTTCAGAGGCTTTTCCCAGTGAGTCACTGACTGGACTGCAGTTCACACCGCATAGAACTGAACCTCATCACTTTAGTGCCGCTCCTTTTTCTTGCCCAGTGGCCCACACCTGCTGTTCCAAACTATGGAGCTGAAATTCCTTAAGGGCCTGACCCCAAATCCATGGACCTCCATGGGCTTCGGATGAGGCCCTAGGTATTCAAACACAACCCATCTCCATAGTCCCCCTGAACAATGCAAATCAACAGCAGTACCCAATATACCAGTCCAAACCTGCGCCATCACGTAACGTTTCATACCGACCTAATGACTAGCAAATTCAAATCCAAAGAGCGGCTTCACACGTAGCTGGGGCTCCAAAAAACAGCTCAGCATACAACTTGGAATGGCACCTCTGGATTCTAACCAGGGCCTTGGCACCCGGGACACCACATTCAATTAGTATTGCAATGTGCTCAGATTGGGCTCAAGCCATTAGGGATCATGACAGCATTGCCCCAAGCTTCTACACGTTGCATAGGACTGTGGATTGTGACTCGGGCAGCTCGAGAATATTAAGGAATGATTTTAAGCCTTCACTGTGGTGTGACAGAGGTTGACATTTCTGAGCCTTGTAATCATAATTCTAAGATTTTTGTCCAAATGACAAGAGAGACAAGTCTGCGAGATGAATGTAACGGCAGCGAAACCAGACGCATCACAGTGAGAACTCACATACCCACGCTCGCGGGTCTGAGACGATCACTTATGCCTAATACAGAGGCTTTCAGGTAAACTTGGGAATGTTCTGAAGTTTCCAATACCCGCCAGAGATGATCACACTTAGCTGATCGTTCCTCTTAAAGGTAAAACTGATCAAACACGAAAAGGCACTGACACGTGCAACTGGGTCTACATGAAAGACAGACAGACCATAAAAAATCCAGGTGACCACTGGAAAAACGTGGACTCTTGTCCAAACAACTTGGCTTCATTTTAATGGGAACTAGGTGTCCAACTGGGCTTAGAGAGCTTTGAAAATCTCTCCCCCAGTTGTGTCTTAAAAATTGGGCTATATATCCCCTGGGCACAAGCTCTCATGCTATTCCCATTACTTCCTGCTTCCAGTTCAGCTGGAAACATTAAGACAAGAGTCTGTGTATTTCAGTACTTCTGCCGCAAATTTTGAGTAGGCTCCAGGGACAGACACAGGGGAACACGGAAGACATTTTAGTGTTAACTTGTTCCAACTATGGCACAAGCAGCTGTGGCTCTGACTGGGAGAAGGTTCGGGGGATTTCTTGTTTTACCTGCACTTGTTCACCCAGCCCTCATTAAATAGCATTCATTTTCTTACCACTTTTTACTGAATTCAGATGAAATCAAAACTACACCACATAGAAATTTATTACATATGTTTGTGAAAATAGTGGGGTTTAACTGATCGAGCCATTCAGTCTAGAGAACATTTGTAAATGGAGGCGCTTGACCCTTCTGTGCCTCAGTTTCTCCACTCTGTATTTTCTGTCCATTCAGGCCCTGATCAGGCAAACATTTAAGGACATGCATAACTTCACTCAAGCATGTAGCTCCATTGGCTTCAGTGGAACTATTCACACACCAACAGCATAGGGTAGACAATAGGAGGACTTTGTGACTTACCTCTGTCCATTTGCCATTGACTTCTATGAATAAGACACAAAACGGGTCAGATTTGGAGGTCACATCCCTGTCCAGAAGGTTTTGGCCGCACACGGATAATTCGACTTTGCAAACACAGTACTGGGTCCCGATAGGCCCAGCAGGGGAGGGGCTTAATGTATACGCCATGGACTCCGGTAGTAAAAACTCCAGACAATCTGCAGGAGACAAGGGAATGTAGGAAAGCGTCAGTCATGGCAGAAAAGCAAACAGCGGGCTTATTGTAGCAAACACGACGTCAGTTCAGGCTTCAGCAGCAGAGCTCCCAAAATATCCAGAGTCTGAGCCTTTTACATTAGCTCCATCCTGGAACATGGCTTCCTGTCCTGATCTATTCCAAGCACTTTATTTTGTCTGTGTCTTCTACTCACATTTACATTCTCAAGGCCCAAGTGACCAGAGAGAAGATACCCAATATCCGAAGACATTATAACCCAGCAGATTAAGAAATAAAGTCCAAGCGCTTGACGTTAGAAAACTGAAAAGAAGATTTTTCTTTTTTGTAACAGTGAATGTAGTGAACGTTGGAACAGCTCACCATGGGGCAGGGGATTACTCCATCACTTGGTTTCTCATCAAGTTTGAAGGCCTTTCTCAAAGAGAGACTCTTGCTCAACCATGTTTTTGGGCTCGGCGTTCATGCGCATGAGGGGAAAAAAATGCCCTCCCCTGCAGGAATTATTGGTTGAAATTCTATAGCCTGTGTTATATACCAGGTCAGACTAAATGATTTGTAGGTCATAAGGCTGAAAGGGACCATTGTGAACATCTAGTCTGACCTCATGTATAACACTGGCCATAGGGCTTCCCTGAATTAATTCCTGTTTGGACTAGACATCTCTTTTAGGCCACGTCTACACTACCCGCCGGATCAGCGGGTAGTAATCGATCTATCGGGGATCAATTTATCGTGTCTCGTCTAGACGTGATAAATCGATCCCCGAATCAACGCCCGTACTCCACCTCGGCAGGAGGAGTAAGCGGAGTCGACGGGGGAGCCGCGGCGGTCAACTTGCCGCCGTGAGGACGGCCAGGTAAGTCGAACTAAGATACTTTGACTTCAGCTATGCGAATAGCGTAGCTGAAGTTGCATATCTTAGATCGATCCCCCCCCCCAGTGTAGACCAGTCCTTAGAAAAGCATCCACGCTTGACTGAAATACTTCCAGTGATGGAGAATCCATCACAACTCCTGGTAAATTATTCCAATGGTTAATTACCCTCACTGTTAAAAACGTGCACCTTGTTTCTAGTCTGCATTTGTCTAGCTTCAACGTCATCTGAAATAAGAAGCAGAAAGGCTCCAACAACAATAATCGAGGGAAGGAGGTGGAAAGAGGTTCAATTCTGGGAAGATCCTAGTGAACAGAAATGAGACTTGCTTGAGCACTTCTATTAAGTTCTTGCCACAATGCGGCAGAGCCGCGAAGTGTGTGCTGGCATTTAAAAATAAGCTAATGTATGTCCAGTACCCAATAGTTAAATTAGAACAGGATGGTTCGGCCACACCCTAGAAAAAAAACCACACAGCAAGTCCCGTGTCTGAGTCAGAAGCTACACCCTTTACACAAATATAGAGAGGCTCAGGTCAGGCTCTAACATTGAACCTAATAAGTAAGCTATTCATGGGGCATATCAACATAGGAGGTAATTTCCAACTGGCCTCCCACCACGAGCGGGACAGGAACTGGGGCTGCGGGCTGGGCAAACAGAGCTAGAAAAGCTGCCTGTAGCCTGGCGTATCCGACAATGGAACATTGTTACACCACATCTCAACCACGTAAGAGCAACACTTGAGGCCAACAGATGCTATTTCGCGACATCGATTTTAAAATCAGACTGAAAGTGCTTCAAACAAAAACATTCCCTGGCAGCTTCTGTAATTCAGACATTGCAGCCTTGTGCATGAGCACTAGAGAGGGGGAGACATTTTCCAGAGTCTCAGGCCTTGCCCACACTGGAGTGGTGGTGGTGAGGGGGCTGTTGTACCGCAGTAACTCTACTGCTACAGTTAAAGCGGTACAGCTTCCGCCAGTGTGGATGCAGTTACACAGATATAAACGATGCTTTATGTCAGTGTAACTATTCCAGAATGGGAAGGGGAAATGAACTATACTGGTACAAGGCATCTTTAGACCAGTATAACTGCACCCACACCAGGGACTGTACAAACAAAAACTAGCCAAAGCAGTATTGCGTTTAGACTAGTCCTCAGTGATTTAGGAGTCTATGGCCTAGTCTTCACTTACCGGCTGGTCCGGCGGCACGCCATCGATGTTCTGGGATCGATTTATCACGTCTAGTTAAGACG